CTTTAATTTGTGTCATCCAAATTTTTTTCTCTATGATCTGTCATACAAGCTTATTTTCAGTGATTTTATTTTTTAGCTCTTCTACTAAGACTTGGTTCGGGCTTTTCATTGTTATTCTTGAAGTCAACTTAGATAAAGAATCAGTTAATGAATTCTCTAACCTCGGTATCTTTTTCACCTTAATTTTTTTGAAGCCAACTACTAAGGCAGTGTTTTATCGAGATACTTTTGAATTTCATCTTTTCGAGTTTCAAACTTTCAATATATCTGATTGACTACCAATTAAAAGTTGCTATACATAATAATGTGTTGAACGTTCAGTTCAGTTGCCAACTTAATACTAGTTATCAACGCTTTATATTTCATTTAATTATTGGATGTTTTAAACTTGAATATCAAAACATATGGGTACTGTAGCATTTCTGGGTTTATCAGAATCAGGTTGGCTTCTTCGCTGTGGTTTGTGACCAATCCGTCAACATAAAATTTTTAATCATCTTTATCCAAGGTTTTTTTTCTCGGATTGTCTTTTTGGGTGTACCAAGGTGAATTCTATGACAATTTGTAAGTATATATGATTTTAAAGCCAATCTAGATAATATGTATAGGTTGAATTCATTGAGCTTTGTCGTCCATTTAATTAATCTTTCTGACATTTCAAGCTTTTGTAAAACTTGTCTCAATAACTGATTAGTTAGTACGTGAATTATGTGAGCTTGAAAGTATGGCCTGAGTTTTTTGACCAAGGTGACAATAGTATAAGCTAATTTTTCTATGTTGCTGTAATTAATCTCTGACCCTGTTAGTAGTTTGTTTACAGAATAGACCTTTTTTTTTTATTAAGATCAAGTTGATGGTTTGATCTGTGCTGGTATTATATAAGATTACATTAAACCTTCGCTTAGACAGAATAGGTAAGGAAGATAAAAAATTATTGAGTTCTTCAAAAACTTTTTAGTATCAAGGAGTCCACTTAAAGTTAGAAATATTTTTGAGAATTTTAAAGAATGACAGACATCGTTTTGACAACGTGGATATGAATCAATTGAGTATGACTATTTTGCCAGTTAATCTTTATATTTCTTTTACCAAGGTCGGTGCTTTCACATTTATGATTGCCTGAACTTTTTTTGAGTTCACCTTTATCCTATTTTTATTGATCATATAATTGAGAAACTTCTTCGATGTGACCTCGAAAGCACATTTGCTCAGGTTTAGTCTTATATTATACTTTTTCAAAATGTTGAAGGTCTCTCTGAGGTCTTCCAAATACTCAGCCAAACTCTTGCTCTTAATTATTATGTTGTCTATATATACCTCAATGTTGTAATCGATCTGACTTTTAAACGCCTTGTTTAACAACCTTTGGTAGGTCACCTCTATATTTTTCAATCCGAATAGTACTATCTTGTAACAGTAAAGGCTTTTATTAGTAATAAAAATTATTTTTTCCTTGTCATCTTTTAGCATTTTGATATGATTATAACCAGAATAGATGTCCAAAAAGCTAAAGAAGCCATGCTCGGTATTGTCATCTATCAACCGATTTATGCTAATGAGAGGAATGTTATCTTTTGAGCAAGCTTTGTTCAAGTCAGTAAAGTCAACACACATTCTCCATTTTCTATTATGTTTTTTAACTATTACCACGTTGGCTATCCATTTATGATAGTAGACCTCCCTAAAGAAATAAAAAATTTGTCAACCTCTTCCTTAATAGCTTGTTATCTTTCAAGGGCAAAAATTCTTTTCTTTTGTTGAACTAATTTTACTTTGAGATTAGTGTGTAGCTTATGAACCATCACTTTAGTATTAATACCGGGCATATTGGATGGTGTCCAAGCAAACAAGTCTACATTATCTTTCAAAAGTTGAATTAACTGATCCTTGTGTTAAAGCTTAGTCTTGATCTATATGTGTTTTTGAAGGATGTTATCCTAGAATGGAACTATTACGAGGCCCTCAGCTAGCTCAAGTCGATTTTCATCTGAGTTTGATATTTGATTAATTATCTTTTTTGTTCAATTAGGTCGAGATCATTTCTTACGAAAATAAATCTTGACGTGATGATCAGTATGCTGTGAATAACTTGTTGAATATGTATGTAGTGAAATTGGTTTGTTATTTTCATTTCATACTATATTTTGGTCGGGGTATTAGCTAGGTCCAAATGACATATGGTTGTTCATGCCGACTTAAAAGCTTGGTCATCTTTAGTGTTACCTCACAAAATTTTAAAAATAGGACAAAATTTTTTATTTTCTTTTTATTAGCGTCTAAGAGCTCGAAGTAACTTAAAAGCATGCTTTTGTCAATTGATCTTACGTTCTGTGCTCTTACTGGTGACTTTCTACTTCTCATCGATTTTTTATAGTTGTCCTTCTTTACTTTTGACCTCAGTTTTTATCGAATTGCTCATCTACTTCCCAGTTCTATTTTTTATTATTATGACATAACACTATCGTGCTATAGATTGATCTCTCTGAACCTTTTTAACCTTATCAAATATTAAAAATTTTACTTTCAAATGAAGAGCTGAGTTTATAAGTTGCATAACAGACTGGTTAGGTGGGCCCAATATCATGTTATAAGTTGATGAGACATCCAGGCCATGAATTCTATGATCGAAGTGATCATCATCGGTTCAATCCTTAAGAAGATTGAAGTTTGATAATTTTTTTGACTAGTATTTGCTCATTCTCAAACTCCATAAGTGTGATGGTGATCGACTTTAACTGATCTTCATCGATCTCTATTTTTTTCATGTAGTTGTAGTACTTGATGTCAATCAAACTCTTATTATCAAATAAGATTCTTTTGGCTACGTAGTTGTATACTAAGGTTGTGATCACTATGATATCATTATGTAGGTGTTGGATTCCTTTAAGATTTTTCGAGCTAAATTAGATCAACTGATCTCTCTAATCTTTTTCTCTCTTTGTCGAGGTGTCTATTGCCATAACCATGCTCGGGTTAAACTTTTTCATAGTTGAGGTGAAGTTACCCTTAGTGATTACATTAATTAGCCCAAAATTGACTTGTTATTGTTAGTTCAACCTTCTTATTGGATCTGCTCATCTTATTGGGCTTTCTTTCTTTCATGTTCTGTTTTTCCCTCTCCGCTCTGGATGAGTGCTTTGTGGTCTTGCCTGTAATCCATTTTAAATTGGTTTTATCTTCTCTATCCCACAAATATCTTCAACTGACCTCATCTTATCAGAGCTTTAATCTCATTTTTTAGGTCAACATAATCTTCAATGTTATCCTACATTTCTGTGAAAGACACATTTTTTGGTTAGATCTCTTCTTATGTTTTGTCTCAGTGGTTTTGGCCATCTCAGGTTGAAATTTCTTTCAATTTGCATCAGAATACTCTTTCGAAAGGTTTTCAATGTAATGTAATTTTTTTCTTTACTAGGGCTTTTAGCCCCATGTTGTCTCTTTCTTAGAGAAAGATCACAAAAATATTTACTTTTTTTACCATCGAATATGAGGGATGAACCTTTCTCACTTTGACTGCTAAGGAAAGGAGATAAGCCTTTCTCACCTCGATTAATTTTTATTGTAACTTCAACATTTATGTACTTCTCGATTATCAGTAGTACGTTGGGCAGAGTTTTAGGCGATTCTAGAGACAGTTAACTTCAAGTGGTACTTTTTATCACCAAGTTCACTTGTCAGGGCAACAACAATGGTCGTCTGCTTTAGGTTTTTAACCTGCTAAGCTTTCACATTAAAACGCGTAACATAACTCTTCAGAGTTTCATTTTCGTCCTTGGTGGATTGACATCAAACTTAAGGTTGTCTTCTTTGCTTTTCGGCTACTCACAAACTTGGACAATAAAGAATGGTTAAGCTCTTTGAATGTCATAATTAATGCCAATTCTAGGCTATTGTACCAGGATCGAGTTGTGCTTTTTAGTGTAGTGGCTAGACCTTTGCACATTAAAGCCTTGTCTGCCTTTTACATCATCATGTTAGTTCTATAAAATTCTAAATGATTAAATGAGTAAGAAATACCATCATAAGTTTTCAAGGTCGGTATCTTAAATCCTTTAAAAGGCATGGCTTTGTCAATTTCTTTGGTGAATGATGAGATCTCCAAAAACTTGAGCTTATCTTTAAAAGCTACTACTGTCGTTTTTAGCTATTTTTTCATGGCCTGTATTTGAGCTTCTAAATCTTTATTCAGTTAGGGTTCAGGGTTTATTTGTTTGGATTTTTGGATCGTAGCTTGTGTTGAATTGTGGCTAAGGTAATGGTGGGTTGGGGTTTTGTACTTCTATTCTTTGGAAGCTGAAGAAACTTCCACCTTTTCGTAGCTCGATTGTCTAACAATAGCTCTTCAATCATGTGTGATTAAATCAAGTGCTTTTGAAATTTGAAGTGGAGTTATGGTTTGTAACATTTGCTTGAGAACCTATATTTATTCAGTCAAGGCTCGAAATTGTTCCATGGTTAGGTTCGCTTGTGATTGGGTCGATCGGATGGAATACTGACTACGGTTGGTTTCTATTCTAGCCGAGACAACTATCTCTCCCTTTTCTAAAGTTTTCTTCCTTAACGGCATTGCTTTATGTCGATTAATGAAAAAAAAAGAGCCTTTACTTGGCATGCCAAATGTTTGTGTCAAGCTCCAATCTGAGGGTGTTTATGGAAAAACAAAAGAGAATGACAGTTAGAGGCAAAGGCAAGGTGTATCCCCTGCATTTCCATTCCAATACATAAATAAAAAAGATTTAGGTAAAAAAAGTAGGAAGAAAAAAAAAAAAGTTCAACTTGCCTTAATGGTGCTTGGACTTTCATATTTATAAGTAAGCTGTGGGGGACCATTAGGAGAAAATAAGGACAATGCCAAGTTAATATGACACTAAGCATGATAAAAATGATAAAAATGATAAAAATATCCCTAATTGTCTACTAAAGGTTTTAAAGAAGAAAAAATACCATTATATCTTTTGGATTACCAAATGCCCCTAACAATAACATTAATTATTTGAAAACAATTAAATTATTATACACATGCTAAGGGTGCATGTATATTTTACTCAAATAGCATTAATTTTAATAATGTCTCTTCCGAATGTTTATCCTCTCTTGGAGAACTTGAATATCAAATACTAACAATTATTGAAAAGCAAATAAAAAAATTATTACATCCAAATTTTATTTCAACATTTATAAATACAATCTGTAGTTTATCTTATTAAATCTCATACTTGAATGTCTGTGATGCATCACGATTTTTTAAATCCATGGAAGGGAAATTAGAGTAACTTTGCAGTCACATTAGCATTGCACGTGCTCTCAGTTTTGTTGTTTTGCTGCCAAGATAATTCCGACCAACTGAAAGGGATTGCATAGCAGGAACATTACTCATAAAAGAGAACGTTTTGCATATCTGTCATGAATCTTCATAATCTTTCTAGAATATGCTTCATAATTAAGGCACAAAAATTGGCTATGATATCCTTGTTTGTAATTGATACAATGTAGTTTATCATAAACTTAAGAAACTAGCTATATGAAAACTACTTCTCCAATAAAAATTAGAAAAGAGAAAAAAAAAGTCAAAGAACTAAAGCAAAGAAGGGGGTTACACCTGTCTTTGTCATAACAAGAAAACTTGTGGTTTGTTCGTAAAAAGTGTCTCAAAGTGACTTCCCTTCAGATCCTTCCATTTGTTCTCCATCTAAGAGCTCATTGACGCAGAATTCCTGCAAGTTGTCATAAACGTTTTTCAATTGCTGAACCATCTGCATAGATCTTTTGCAATCAAGCTTCAGTCTCTTCACTTCCATTTCAGCTGCAGCAGAAGAGCTTTGTTGCTGCAGACAAGGGGTGATGAAGAGGTTAGACAAAGGTGTCAAGTAGATGGAATATAATTATATATATATATATATAGCAAATTATTAAAAGTACATAAAGTTAACAAAATTAAGATGGCCTGCTTGATGCCTGGTAATAAGCACTAACAAGTGAAAATGAAACCATAATAATTATATGGTCCATAAGCATGCCATAAGCAGTAAAGAAAACCTGAAGCTCTTTAACGTGATCATTGATTAGCTGAGCACTAAGGTATGAAGGGAGGTCACTAGTAGCAGGGAGAGTAATGATAGCCTTATTATCCATGTCCTCATCGGTTGAATTTGCATATTTTTCTAGTGGAGGTGGAAGTGATGTTTCATGCCTTCTGGAGGAAGCTTGCTCTTTTGATCCTGCCCGACCAAGGGGGAGTGGACGTCTAACAATGAGAATATTGTTCACAGGGCCTGAATATTATTGAACATCAGTTAAATGATTTGCAAGTGAATAATAAAGAACATCATGTGAAGGTATAGTAGGAAAGAGGAAAAGTAAAAGCCACACCAAATAGAAGAATGAAGCACTAAATGCAAAATTTTGTAAAACAAATCATAAGCTCAAATAGGATAATATACCTGTGTAATAAAATCTAGCTTTAGCAAATTAAAATATAAATTTCCCACTTATGCTATATTCTTTGGTTTGTTGATCATGAGCATGAATCTATTAACGAAGCACTCTATTTAAGAGTTGGAGATTAATGCTTTTCAAAATCTTATGTCATTCTCAGCACTTTTCAAAATCTTATGTCATTCTCAGCACTTTTCAAAATCTTAGCCAAGTGCCAAAGCTCAAGCGGCTCAAAACTGATAATCCTTCAGGATGTACAATGCATTTTTTCATACCTTGCCTGACTACTTAGTCTACTTTTCCATTTCTCTTTCATGGTTCTCCCTTTGAATGTTTCACTGCTTGCTCAATAGAATGTTTTGTATTCCCTCCATTTTCCTTCTTTAAGATAGTAGTAATATATTTATGCATGCAGCATGGAAGAAAAAAAGGACAACATGGAATGTGAGGAAACAGAATTTATGCTTTTTCATATGAGATTTATTTTGAGGAAGATGCAAAAGTGAACGGTAAGCGTGCATATAAGTTAAAGACCAAAAGTTTGCAATCCATTCAGCGCCTTGCATTGAAAACAAGAAATATATCTAGTTGTTTGAATGGAACCTTTTGCATGTCTGAACATTCGAATGATGTTTTGTGTTTTCACATCCCAAACTCGAACCAAACCATCCTCTGATCCAGATAGTAGCAAATTTCCTTCTGCACTATAGGCCAAGCATGTAACAGGCTTACTGTTCAAATATAAGATTATAAAACTGTCAGTAAAAAGGGTAAGAACGATATAACAAGAGGTCATTTAAAATTTTAATGAGGAACGCACAATATAAAATATCAATCATCAATATTGTTAGTTAGTCTACAACTACAATTATGACATACAAGCAACTTAATGTAGGTGTGCATTGCTTTTTTTTTTTTTTAACTTTTTCTTCTTTTTTGATGCATAACAATTTGAACTATTTATAAAGTCCATTTCAATCTAGGGGATGAATTATAGAATTTGGAAGCTGGGCCATAAAACAGTTAGTTGATTTCAACAAGTAAAGAGTACATGCATAGCACCATTTTAAGGACTAAAAGAATGTATAAAGTGATATGACACGAACCATTATAGACTACCCTGCCAGAATTACTTAAGAAAATATTGTAAAGATGGGTAAAACCAAAACAAATAACAAAATAACACCTGTGATCAGATAGTGAACCAATGATGTGCAATCCATAACTGCTGCTAGGGGAACTTTCAGCATTAAGTGCAGCAATATAGATTTTACCATCTCGACTGCCCGCATAGAAGACATGTTCACCAGGGTCTAGAGCAATTGCATCAATGATGGATGGAAACACAATGTTTCTTAATAATCTCCCCCTGAATAAGCTCCAGACCTATTAGCAATGCAGATTAAATCAGGAACCCTTTACAAACTAACTAGTAGATAGAAAGGTTAAGGCCATATATTAGCACAAAGACTGCATCACAAACAAGTCAGGTAATTGCAAAATGAAGTCGAACATATTCCATGAAATAAGGTTCTACTACCAGCATGATAGATTAGTCATAAAAACACAGACAAAATTGTGACGAACTATAATGTCCATTAATTTCCACTAAGAAAGTATCTCTTTACAGTTAAATCCATATAAATTTGTTGCTCAAGCAACCCATGCTATGGCTAAGCAAATATTTAGGAGTATCCCTCACCATCAATCTCCCAATCAGAAAATATTACCTTCATCACATGACATTTCTTAGCTTTACAATTACCAGTTCAAAAACACAATTTACTGATAAAAATACTATATATAGGTTAAATGACAATGCCAATGCCAATAACTTGCCACCAAAAGCTTCCATCTTTTCGTTCTAATGCACAATCCAGAAGAACACCTCAATTACCAATCTCTCAAGACATTCATGCATTTGGGCTTGAACTAAAAGAAGAACAAACCTTACATGTGCGGTCCTCAGAAGCCGACACAATAATTGCACTGCTTCCACCATAACCCATTACAATATCAGTTACACGCAGCGTATGTTCTGTAAAACTATACTCATAGAGATGACTTGCCTGCTGCCTTCTAACATCATCAAATATTCTAATTTACAATAAACATCGGAAACAAAACTATCTACAATTAGAAACCACAATAATCAAATAACATATGCAATTCGTATCTGAAAATAGGAGCAAGGATTAAAACGAAGCACGTACATGAAAAGCGACCAAACTCTAACGCATCCATCCTCTGATCCAGAGATGAGAAGCGAATTATCCTCGGAGAAAACCAAGGATGTAACAGCCCTGTAATGAGCATGCCATTTCCTTAACAACCTACCCGTTGCAACCTAAATTGTGAAACAAATACCACCTAAAAACCTTAGCTTTAATCAACAAATCAAGCCAATGACTTCAAAATAATATAAATAAGTAAATAAAGGAATTGAATTTAACCTCCCAAAAGTAAATATCACCAGATGAACCTCCACCAACAATGTAACTACCTTCGCTATTAGCAGCGAGTGGTTTAATTGGTTCCGCGGGAAAGCTTTTAACTTCTGCTTGAGGCTATGAAAAAACAAAAGAAAATATAATAACAAAAAAAAAGGGTTTGGGGAAAGAGTTGAAGAAGATGTTAAGAGAGTAAACCTTGAACCATGACCAATAAAAAACGTGGCCGGAGGTGGCGGAGGGGTCGCGAAGTTGAGAGCAGGCAAGGAAACGGCAACCAACGGAGGTGAGGCCGTGTGGAGGAGAGGCGCAAGTCTTGTAACGGAGTTGCTCCGCCCCTGTTTGTAGGTCCCAGCAACCGATGCCGCAATCGATCGAAGATGATGCTATTACTACATTCATTGTTATTGGACAATTTTTTCCTTTGGAATTTGGTGCTGACAACGAAGAGCGATGTTGTGGGTTTTGTTAGGGTTTTTAGCTACAGGGAAGGAAGGGCAGGCTGGCAAAAGGGCACTAAGCCTGTTGTGTTCTAAACTTTATTGGGATCCTAGGCCCTTTTGGGCCGAATGAGTTGAGATCCTTAAATGGGCCTCAAAGCTCACTCTCCTGGACCACCCACTTTCTTAAACACATCACATCGTCCTGCTCCAGACATATACCATCATCTTTCTCCTGCCTGCATTACCAATGAATCCTGAAAATTAAAATATTTGTTCCAATCATTCATTCCACCCTATCTAGGAAAATGAACTTAGTTAATCAAATCAGATATTTAAACAACTATTAAAAGTATAGTCTTTCTTTCTTACTTTCTAAAAAGATTATCAATAATCTACTGATAAAATATTAAAATTTTACTTTTTGTAATTACAATTGAATCCCTTATAATCTCAAAGTATATTAAAAAAAAAAAAAACATACGTTAATTTATTACATGCATGTGGGAGATGGCTATGCTATAGAACCTAAAGAGACAAAGTTTGGGATAACTATATCTCTATGTCTATATATGGGCTTGTGTGCTTAGCCATGTGCATTGAAGCACGCTAATGTGTGCCAGTTTCTGTTCTATATAGTTTTTTTTTTTCCTTTTTACTGACAGTTTTTGATCAATCACGGTATTAGTTTGTAGTTTGTTGATACGTAGTAAATTATTCATGGATTCTCATTGAAAATATAACTGATAAGGGTTCAGGCTAAAACAAATCACGACAACATTTTCACAATCTTGATTTAACCCTCGATGAATTCGAAATTATATTTGTTATAAAAAAGAGTTCGTTACATCCCAAGGGACACATCTACTTAAGGTTTTATTTTTTATCATATGCAATTGATTTGATCGGAACGTATAATTTATTGATAAAATATTAAAATTTTAATTTTAATAATTAAAATTTAATTTGTGACATTCTAAGTACAAAAAAATGGAAGTATAAAATAAAGTTGTTTTGCATATCTTAAAATCCCTATAGCTCCATTCCATGTGAAACATTATTTGGTCAACAAATAGGATGGAGAAGAAAAGTAGCTAGAAAAACAAATGAGACACATGTATCTTTGCAGCCTTGCACTTATTTAATCCACCCTACACACAAACTTTTTATGTATTGCGTTATTTTTGTAGTCTTTATGATGAATTGTCAATAAAGTGTTGGACCAAAAGAAATACAAAGGAAGATGTCAATAAAGTGGATTTGAAAAGCGCACCAGGAAGAAGAGAAGAAAAGAAAGTCATGTCTTTTTATAAGTCCCAATTTCTCTCACCCTTTTTCTTTTTTAGACTTTCAAAAAGAAAAATAAAAGAGAAAATATTTGTTGGTCGAATACGGCTGTTAAGCAACATGAAAAGAAAATGAAGATCCCTTCCTCTTAAAGCATCTTTACCGTATACACTTTTAAAACCCATCATCCTTAAGTTATACTTAGTACTTTTTCTGGTAGTTTTCTTGATTTTTCTTCCAATATCTCTTTGGACTAGACGTATCCTTCTACACCACACGTGCAGTTAATTTCTAGTTCACATGCCATGCTCCAACAAACTCCAGAAAAAGGGTAAGAGCCAAAGACATATGTAGTGTCAAAACTAGGTTTATTAGGGTTAGGGTGTTTTTTTTATTTGGGTATGAGACGAAAAAGAAATGATCATCGGCACGACAAAGATATTCTAAGAATTATATATTGATAACTTTTATGTTTCTCATGCGGGAGTCTTAAATAGATGTTTCTTAACTTACTTTCATCACTGTCTTACATAGTTTTCTCTGTCTTAGGAAATTAGTAAGTGCATGAAAATATACAGAAGAACCGGATTCAAGAAAAAGCAAAGAATCTGTTCAAATGCCTAGTCAAACTTTATGTGAAACTTTACTTTGTATAGGGATTTTGGACAAAGGGACAGGTAAAAGCCATAAAAGAGAAATGGGTTTTTGTGAAGAACGGTGCATTGTTTAGCTACCAGTCAAGGGGTCTGTCTTAAGGTCTATCTATGGAATTCTGATCTTTTTATCGGTTTTTTGTCCTAGAAAAAAAGGAAAGTGGGATTGGAATTAGTGAAAAGAGAGAGGAATCCAAAGATGGGTTTTGAAAATGTTTATCAGATACTTAAAGTAGGAAAAGGCAAAGGTTTCTGTTCCTCAGAAGAAGTATAGAAGCCTTGATAGAAACATTTCAAACAACATTTTTAGTCAGTTTCTCTTACATTTCGCTTTCATCGAATAACTCACTCTTTTGGATTTTTTTTCTTTTACTCCCTCTAATTCTATTATTTCAAAATCAGTATTCGATTTTTGTGCTTGACTGACAGTTCATGGGAACAAGAAATGATAATGGAGATTTTAACCTTCATCAAACATATGATAACCTTCTTTTTTGACAATAATAGTCATAATTACACTGGTAATTAAATTATTGAGAAATGAGAACCGAACGTCAGCTGCATTTTTCCATCGTTTTGATGGTAAATATTTTTGTATCGGGTTTTGAATTCAGATGAGGGTATCAAAGCATACTTGTACGTATCATACATTAATGGACTAATCAGAGAAAGCCCTAGAGAAATTGTCAATGAGGCAGCTATTGCCAGAGACTTCCTCAGCTTTTCTTTTTATCAATTGGAGCTGAAAGGAAAGTCTGTTTGTCGCTCTCTCTCTCCTGCATTAATGAAAGTATATATGTAACTGGAATGTACAGACGTCAGACATCAGAATCATGAATAAAGAGAGAAGAGTATTAGCAATAAATTGCACCAATGGAAAACTGAAGAAACATCAAAGAAAAAGATCGGTGTTGAGATTTTCCACTTGCTTTTCATCTTCACTCTAACCAAAACCCATCTGCATTCATGTGGCTAGGAAGGAACAAAATATTACCGGCACTAAAATTATATACATAGACACAAACACCCACACACCCCACGCAGACAATTTCCGTAAACAATATCAGAAGACTCTAAGAGATAAACAAAGACAATCAAACAAAAACTTAAAAAAAAAAAAAGAAAAGAAAAGAAAGAAGTTCAAAAAGGAAGCTAGAATATTCTTGAAATGAGAAACTAACATGTAGAAGGAGGCATAAGATTCAACCCTAAATCATCTTTCTCCAAGACCAAACGTGCCTTGTTAGTCTCCATGTTAGCTGCACCATACTCCGGGTGCAACCTCTTCTTTGATTGTAAAGGCACACCAAAGAGCTTTGTTTTGCAACTATTGCTGCTTGGTTCTTCCACAATCGTTAAGGAGCTCTGGGATGTAGCAGTTGGAGAGTTTAAAACCTGAACTTGGGGCTTGGGACTATTTGGATAATATCCAAGAAGCTGGTTCAAAGGCTTTTGCAATAATGAACTATTGGTATTAACAACGGAAGGAGTAGAAGATGAAGGAGGGCCACAAAGAAGCAAAGAAGGAGAGTAAGAATTGCTAGGAGTGACAGGCTTAACATGGTTTTGAACAAAATAAATAATATCATTGTAAAGCTTTCTCATATGGGCTAGTTCAGACATAAGCAAATTGTTGCTTCTTCTCAGTCTCTCATTATCCTCTGATAAAGCTGTGACCGAGCTGTTATATCCCCCACCCCCGCCGCCACCAACAAGTGAGACGCCAGTGCCTCCTCTTGGTGAGGAAAGTGGTGGTGAGTCACACCAGTTGGCTTGTTCATCTGAGTCAGTTGAAGAGATGCTGACTCGACTTGGAAATGGAAAGAAACTCGGGGCATTAATCAAAGGAGAATGTGGGTGGTGATGATGATGATGATGGTTTATACCCCCTTGTGGCTGCGCAGTTTTTCTTCTATGGATCTCACAAAGCAAGTGCTTTTCTCCTTTCTTGAAGAACTCGTTAGCAAACTCCCATCTGTCTGGTACAATCTTCCTAAAACCCTAGTTTCATTATCAAAAGCAAAAGCAAAACCCAGATCAGTACAATAACTAAAAAGGCAAAAGATTTATTAGAAATAGAAGATTTCTTAGAAGAGATAAAAGGTTGAGTTCTTATACATAAGTGTTGAGCTGTCTGACAAAGCTAGAGAAATTGTTGTGCTTGAAGTAATTTGGAAGGAGATCACGAGCAAACTCAGGAGGTCTCCAAACTACGAAAGTAGTGTCATCTTCACCCCATGAAACTATGTGGTCTGTGGTGGGATCATCGACTAGTTGGTAGGTTTTTGTGAGGAATGGTGCTGGCACTGATTTGTGGGAGTCTAGTGATAGTAATATCCCTTCACAATTATCAAGCATCAGAGCCATTGAAAGATCAAAACAGGAACTGTGCCTTAATGAAAGAGAGGGAGAGAAAGGATAGAGGCCTGAGGGAAAATAGAAGGGGTTTGGAGCAGGAGATCAGGACAGATGTTTGAGGGGCGATTCTTGGATGGGATAAAAATGTTGGGAAGGGGGGGTGTTGTTACTGTGAACAAGCGGCACTGTTATTGCAATTTTTTTGTGTTTATTGTGGGTATATTTTTGTTTCCCTTCTCGGTTTTGTAGTGAGAGAGAATATGTGTCTGTCTGTCTAGGACTGTGAAATAAGGGCCTTTCAAGACAAACCCGTGACTCTCTCCCCCTTTCTTCCTTTCTATCTATCTCTCTCTTCTCTGACAATTGATCCCGCGCACACCCACTTAAAATCAGGCACAGAGGATGGGTGCAGCCTGTCCTTTGGAATTGACAATGAAGCCCCTTCCCTCCCTTCCCTCCCTTTTCCCCTTCCTTTTCTTTTTAGATCCCTAAAGTATATTTTAATGTAGTAGTTCAAGTATGTTAATTTGTTATGATTAATGTAAGAAAATTCTAGTTTAGGGGTAATATGGTCGGAGTGGGAAACCTTGTTTTTCTGATGCATGAATTGAAAAGAAAAGAAAGGAAGGAAGGTGGCTTCACTTCACGTCAAACGAGTATCATCTTTTTTTTTTTTTTTCATTTGTAGCTTTCCGTTTGTTGTTTAATATGATCACGAACCCAACACACACGTCCTTCAGTCCTTCTATTTCGAATCCCATCATTTTTTATTTCTACTACTCTAGCAGATATAAGGTAAAGGATACATCGAATTATGTGATGGGATTTAAAGCCTGTTCTTGGCGACGACATTTCTTCTTCTACTTCTTCTATTTCTCTTTCGCCTTCTACCTCTTAGCCTTACTCTTTTTTTTTTTTTTTTTTTGCTTTGCTTTTGTAATATTCCAAACTTCAATATCAAAAGATAGACATGCCCTTTGGTTCTGTCCACAACTACTTTTACTGACTAAACTTACAATTTGTATAAACTATAGCTCTATGTAATGTAGGTGTAGCCCTTATTGCCCTTTGAGCCTTCAGCTTTGGCTCTTCTTTTGGCTTGGCTTCTTCTTTGCTGACCTGTCTCTCAGGTGATTGAATTATTGGCCCTAAAAGTTTCCATGAATAACTGAAAATATCATACCTTTTCCTTTCTTTCTTGTAATCTTCCAACAAATATATTTGTTTTATATATTTATTTTCTCTCTCTGTCTGTCTCCTATCTTTCAATGGGTGGACTTAGAAAATTTTCTTACCTTTGTGATTACAAAATGGAATTTGGAAATTGGAAACATCAAGTTGAAAATACATTCAATCTTGGAATATTTGTCGATTCTCTAATAAAACATACTAGTTCTAATATAGAAAGCAAAGAATGGAAAGAAGGTAAAAAAAAAAGAGATTTTACTGCAACAAGTGTCAAAACTTAAACAAGATTGCATGAAAACCATATAGCAATGAATGACAGTGAGGGATCCTATAAAAGTGAGAAATGGATTCATTTTGTGATGAGTGAAGACAGTAGGAACACCAAGGGGAGGTCCAAAGGGAAAAAATAGAAAAATGATGACTAATTATTTCACATAGATACTCAGCTGATTTATATTTGATCATACCCATGATTCTCATTATTGGAAAAACAAAGTTAAAAACTGTCCCAAGTTCCCCCACCCATGATAATTCCTCTCTTTACATTTTCTCGGGAGAGGGATGGGTACTTTCTATTCTCAATAAAAAGTTTTTTCAAAAGTTAAATCCTATCTTATTAAGCAATCCAAATCAATTTCCATTTCTCACCCCCCCCCCCCCAAAAAAAAAAAAAGAACAAGGGAAAAATAACAATGTTTAGAAATCCCACAAATTGCAATTGAGAGATATACACTAATACTTAATTCTATTATTATATATCATTCTGGTATTTAGAAATAAAAGTAGTGAATTTTGAATTAAAGTAGTCAAATATTTGATGATATTTTTCAAACTCGAAATTTTTATGTTCATTCGAACTTATTATTAGTTAATTTCTGGTTATATTAATCTAACTATTAAAAGATACTACTTGTTTCCCAAGTTAAAGAAAAAGAGGCATTAGAAGACTATGCTGCACAAATTTTCACTTGGTAAAAAGCATAATTATTCGGTGCAAAGTAAATTCCGTACTCAAAGACTAGATTTTATTGATACCTTTCATTTCATGCCTCTTCTTTTTTGGGATAGCAAAGACTAGATTTATCTTCTTTTGACTGTTTTATTTTCATATGGTATATCAGTTACTATTTCCCAATGCAATTTCAAATGTCAGTAAACCAAAATGTAACAAGTACCCACAAGAAAATTAAAATGTTTTGCATGTGAGTATGTGACCATGAAAATATATGTACATTTTGCCAAAACAAATGGCAAGAAGCAAATGTCAGCTTCAAGTCCCTATATTCAATTATAATGTGAAATGCTTCCTCATGTCTGAGAAAAAAAAAACACCTTCTAAAACGTGCTATTGCTTGCTCAATGTCTCTCTCTTTTCTCTTCTCCAAAAACTTTCTTAATTCTTCCCTCAATTGTTCACACCTTCACCAGGGCCTTCTGCAACTGCAAACAACTGCAAAACTGCACAATTTTTTTTGCAGTGGCTGACATGGGGACAGTCTTTTTTGTTTATTTTTGTTGATGGTTCTGTGCATGTTGCCATTCTCGTGATTCCTGTTTTGTTCTTATCCTTGATAACATATTACTAGTACTATTTATTACAATTCATGACTCTTCTTCCTCTTGTTACATACACCTTTCTGGGAATATAATTTCCTGTGATACTATTTCCAAACTGACCAAAAACACTAGATTTTTCCCCGACGAGAATAATAGAGTTATAGTACTTTGGTCTCTGGTACTCATCTTTTTTTAATCAAAGGATCAAATTTTACAAACCATAATTAGTTCAATGTTAAGTAGAAATTATGGCAGATTAATTACCTCCTTTGATTAACCTAATCATGTAATTAATCCATAGGGGTGAAACATGAGATATTGAAATATGGTGGGTCCATTAAGAAATACAAAAATGGGTCCTATCTCATTGATGAAAATGAGCAGTTTATGGACAAGGAACAGGTTACAGAAGCAAAGAAACAGTTTTTGAAAGGTGATGAAAAAGAAGGTGAAAACCACAAAAAAAAAAAAGGGCTTTTTTTTTTTTTTATTTCTACCGGGAAATCGATTTTGTTTGCATTAAGACATTCATCATATGTAAGAGACGTGATAGGGCCCCACGAATAGTATGGAAATCTAGAGAAGAAAGGCTGATCTTTTACTCTTTTTCTCTCCAAACAAGTTGTCAGCAACTTAGACACAGATCCTACCGAGCCCACCTCCATCACTACCAAAATCTCTCACACACACACACACACACATTTCCCTCTCTCTTTCTCTTCCCTTTATACTTCCACTCTACAGTTTGAGGAGCCAAGAAGATTCTATTCCAATTTCTAAAACGCAGTGAAAGTGAACCCCACTTCCTCCCCTCTCTCACATGACCACCGTCGATTCCCTTTCCAAAATACTATATATATTTTCCTTTTCTTCTTCTAGGAGATAAATGATTGTGATAAACAATACAAATATATACAACAAGGTTTCCAATATATTTAAATATATAGCTTTGATTATGGGAATTTCAACGAAAGACAACTTGAAACACAGAGCGAATATGGATAAAACTAGTAATAATTATTTTAAGGGAAATGAAAAGGGGTTGATGACTCTTAAGTGTTGGGATAAATAAAATTTCGGGGTTCGGGTGTATTATTTTATTTGATCTTCTTCCAACTCTTTTTTTTTTTTTTTTCTATTTCTAAAGTGAAAAAAGAAAAAAAAGAAAGAATCAAACTCTGTTTTCTATACGACAACGACAAGCTACAAGGTTCTTTCTTCTGTCTCTTCTTGCACTCTCTTTTGTCTGCTTCACTGTCTGTTTTCCTCAGCAGAAGCGAGGGAGAGAGAGATTGAAGACATTAAGACAAACCCCATTTGCCATTTTGCATTTGCATAAATTAATACTATATATTACATGTTAGAAACTGATCAGGTATATTAAAAAATAGCACTATATATATATATATATATATATATGCACAACAGCATCAAATCTGTGAATTGTAGATAATGAGTGGTCAAAGAAAAGGTTGAACTTAAAACCTGTCCAAAGGCCAGGATGGATTTTGAATTGAAACAAAAAACTACCTATAAAATTGGGGGAAAGGAAAAGAAAAAAAATGGGATTGAAATGGGGGTTTCTGAAGGGGGTCACGAGGGGATATGGAACCCCACGAGGAAATGGTAGAGAATGATATAAATGGAGAGGACAAGATAGGCAATTGTCTTTTTAGTGCAGATATATAGGCAGGGATTTGTCCTTAATGTTCATTTGGGTGATTGACACCTCTGTCCTTCTAGATTACACAACTCTTCCAAATTTGCACCAGACTAAGAGAGAGGGTATACCTTTCCTGCTGCTGCTCTAATAATAATGCATGCAAATATGTAGAACGTGCTATTCTTTTTGCCCGAATTACCCTTCCCCTCTTAACCGTGTTAAATCTCATAGTAAATTAAATAAACTAGGATTGAGTTCAAACTGTTGGATATTTTCGATATGTTGATGAAAGTACATTTTATTTGATAAAAGAATTACTAACAATCTCTCATTATTAAAGGGAAAAATGATATTGCCATCTTGATATAGATGCACATGCATGCGCACTTCAAGAATCAACAAACTATTGGGTTTACAGAAAGAATGTGTAAGTTCTTATTTGTCCCCAATTGCAATTGCTTGATTCTTGTACTTTCGGCAATCGATGCTAACAGGTTGCAGCTAGCAAATGCCTTTTATTCCATTAATCCTTTTAGTCATTCAGACTCTTGGGTTTACTTCATTTATGCCTTTAAGTTTGATGACTTTCTAGAAAGCCAGCGATCATCTCGGCAATTAAGTTCACAAGTTTCTAGAAACTAAAGCTTATTTCAATATAAAATCCCTTCTTGTTTCACAATTTTTTTTTTCATTATCAATACCAAACAAAAACAATAAACGCGAAGTTAATCATTAATATGGATGAGAAAATTCTTTAAATATTGCTTTTATATGTTGAATGCTTGTGGTCCATCATGGTCTCCATTTTCCCACAAAGGAGAACTTGCCTAACAAGTAACAACATAGCCATTTTGTGTTCTTTCCACAAAAAAGTTTCAAGATATATTTATATTTGGAGGCTTTAATATTAATTTTATTATGTTGATGATTGTGCTTCAAATTTAATTTGTAGGATTTCAAAATGGACTGAGACAATGACCAAGATGAAGAGAAAAGAAAGTTATTTTTATGTGATTGATGATTAGATATAAAGGAATCTGTTTATGAAAGGTATTAGAATAATGGAGGATTAGGTTCCCATGCAAAAGTTGTGTTTTCCCTCTAAATAAAGACGTTAAAAAGTAGCTTCCTTCACGACTAATATCGCTTTAGCAATGGGTCCGAAAGGGGGTTTCCCTATCGAAATTTTAGACTTGCATGGCCTGTTGTTTCTTATC